CACAATGGATTACAATTCAGTGTAAAGAAAATCAAATTCTCCCAGCTGGACCAGTTGGTAATGTCATGATACACGAAGACTGAAGTTGTCAAAGATCTCATCTTGCTTGGATCCACAATCCATGCGTATGGAACAGCAGTCAAGAGATCACATGATGCACTGCATTGGGTAAATCTGCTGCTCAAGATCCCTTTAAAGTGTTGAAAAGCAAGGGTGCTTAAAACATTTGTATCTATTTGTTGATCAGGAGGTACTGGAGTGGGTGATGATCCTTGTCCACTAGCTGCAGCTGCAGGCGCAGGGGTACCTAGGTTGTGTGGGGACAGTTGTCTCTATTAGGTGGAGTAGGACAAGAATGATAAAAAAAGAAAGACAACAATAAAAACATAAACCAAGAAGCCAATAAACACACACACAGAGTAAAGAAATCAATAATAACAACAACTCCAAGTCAGAGAAAGCAGCTGAAAACAAAAGGAAAATAGGAAAGAAAAGGAAGGAAAAACCTCCCATGCCAGCCATGGTATCCCAGAGTACTGCCAACTTCTGTGGGCTCTGAGTGGGTGTGTATAGAAGTCTTGGTGACCCCAGAGTGCATGAAAATGTAATTAGTCCCACTGCTATTTTTTTTTTAAAGCCACACCGACTTCATCTCTGGATTCTTGCCATTGCTACAGAGAGTAATGGGAGAGCATTTATCCCCACACTTTCAGTGTTACTTTAATGAGTGTTCCCCTCTACTGCAGAGCAAAAGAGCATTTGCCTACCCCATCTCCCAATGGGAAAACAAACATTTTAAGTCCTGCATCTATTCTGGTTGGCCGCTGGAGTTGGCTGTGCAAACAGAGTTCACATCACCCCTAGTGCATCTAAGTTGGTTCTTCCTCTTCTTTTCCCCTCCAGTTATCACAATGGCAAAACAAAAGGCAAAAGATGTGAGACTGAACAGAGATTCAACATGATTGTCATCAAACTTGTCAACGTTGAAATCTAAACTCCATCGCTAAGTTTCCAAATGATATCCACCTGTGAATATTGTGAAACATTGACACAAGGACGTGTGTTCAAAAGGCAGCTGTTACACAGGAGTCTACATACCACAGATACCAACCTGGAAGTAAATGGACTTTGCTATTACATTAAGAAGCAGGAGTTCTTGGAGTCATTGGGCTGTGAGCCATAAGGTTGGCGGTTTTAATATAGCAGCCAGGCTGCAGGAGCAAAATGAGGCTTTCTGCTGCCATAAAGACTTCCAGCTTCAGAAACCTAGAGGCTGCTCTGTCCTATAAGGCCCCTATGAGTCAGAATTGACTTGATGGCAGTGAGTTTGGGTTTAGATTAAGACGTCCAGCCAGAAGGCTCCCTAAAAGTGAGGATGGCAAGACTTCCCCGAATGCACTTCAGACATGTTATCAAGAGACACTCATCTCTGAAGGAGGACATACATCATGCTTGGTAGAGCAGAAGGGGAGTGAAAAAGAGGAAGACCCTCACTGAGTTGGACCGACACCGTGGCTGCAACAATTGTGAGGATGGCTGCGCCAGTAGGCAGGGCTGACGACTGGCAACAAGCGCTGCAACCCACGACATGAAATGAGATGCATAAAAACGTTTCTGAAAATGGCCCGGCATTTTAGACTTCACCAATATTATGTAACAAAGTAATAACATACAAAAGAAACAACACCTTAAACATATACTTTTAATAAAGGAAATAGGAAGATAAGGTTGGATAGCATTTTTACAGCAGATGCACGATTTACAATAACTTTAAAATATATAGTTTATTGTTGTTGAGAATATGCACAGCAGAACTTGTATCAATTCAACCATTTCTCCATGTAAAATTCAGTGACATTAATTTTTCAGTTGTCCATCACTCTCACCATCCTTTTCTGAACTGTTCTTCCTGTAAACATAAGCCCAGCCCCATCCTAAATTTCCTATTGTCAATTTGACCCCATAGATAGATTTTTAAAAGAGCGCAATGCTCAAGGCAGACATTCTTTGCTAGTTAATCTGAACTATTGTTTGATCCTAGAAGACTTCAGGGAATATTTTTGATTTAAGGTTTTAGGTTAAAGAGTATTCTACAGCAATAGTTTCAGGGATTCAATCAGTCTTTATGACTCCATAGAATCTGGATACAATTACTTTTGAGAAGATTGGTGGGAACAAGAATTGGCAGCTTGAACTTAATTGTTCAAGTTCCCAGTTCCGTTTTTTTTTCTAGTTCTCCAATGAACTTCATATATTACCAAGACCCAGACCCAAGCTTTTTTGCTATTTTCCTCTGATGATTTAGCCAGCAAGGTGAAAGCAATGCTTTCTCGGATACATCTGATATCATTTTATGCCTTGAATGCTATTCCATACTCAATATTTATTTCCTGTTATACTGCCTTCATTGTCTTTGTAAACTCATTCTGCAGATCACCGTGCACCGGGCTGCTCCAAAATAATGCATTTAATTGTTTTGAATACTGTGTGTGTAGGACACAGACCTAGCCCTTTTGAGAAAGTAAACGGTCACATGCTATTAGCAGTCACTCATTCATGATTATATTACACCACGCTTGCATGCAAGTGGCTGATTTAGAATAGCACATTACACCTGTGGTCAAAGATACCCAGATGTATGATACTTTGGAAACCACTTCCTACTGATTAGATGAAACTCGTGGTTTTTTAAGGAAAATCGGGCTTGTAGAATGTTCCAATAATCGTGTTAGATGTTCTCTGACCAAGAGACACACAGAGCATGTCTTGTGCACTGAGTGTCTTAGCCACTCTAGGGCAGAGGTTGGTTCTAGAATGTCTTGTTGAAATCTTCTGCACATGTAGAGACTGGTGGACTTATTTTAGTGTTTTCCTAGAAGAGGACAGAGAATCATTCCTTTAAAGCATTTGCTTCTGTTGACCAGTCAGCCTGATTTGTGGACAGTGTCTCTGTGTTATTGTTTGTGTGCGCGCGTCCGTGCACGTTTGTATATAGGCGTGAGGAGAGGTAAAACAGATGGGATTTGCATGATTGTTATATCCTTGAGATTTGGCTTTGTTCAATTTTGGGTGCACATTACAGTAATGTATACCAATATTCTTAACCCATACCTGCTAGGAAACACGTTCTTTTCCGTGGCAAAGACAGCCCTGAGGTTGGGCTCTCCAAGGGCCACAGGAGATAATGGCACTGAACGATGCCTCAGAGTGTGTCTCAGAGGTCCAATGAGGGGACAGGCACATATTACATTTCTAACGATTAGAAATGTATCAATTATTCTGTCAAGCATAGAAAACAGGAGTTGTATGAACTGCATACTTTAAGAACTGGGACAAAGTGGGACTCCTTTGGACTACGGCCATCTCCTAATTCTTCTCAGAGTTCTAAGCTGCCCCATGATAATTCTGGTCATGGGAAATCACGTCTCTTTAAAAAAGTGCACGGGACATGGCAACGGTGCCCTCGTTCCAAGACAGCCATGTGCCTTTGGAGGGCATTTTATTTCTTTTGCTTTTAATTTTCCCAGCTGCACCATGGGATTTTTTAAAAAAACGGTCACTTTTTTCCAAAGATATTGTTGGAATGAATGGACGAGCATTAATAAAGTATTGTAAGTTCTATAGGAACAAATCAGCAATGATATCACTGAAGAAAGAATGGACACAGAAGCTTGCTTAGCAACACTGTGATGGTTAAACTTCTCATTCCGGACCTGCAATTAAACACTTAGAAGAGCACTGGGGAATTACATAGCACCTTTCAGTTTAGGAATCTAGCAATAAATTATTTTCATTTTGTAAATGGAAAGGGATGAGTACCAAAGATTTTGGAGTACGAGATTAAAGAGGTTACTTTGATCAAAGAGGCTTTGCCCAAGAAAAAGCAAACAAAAAATGTCTCTTTTTGTTTTGTTTTTTTAGCAATAATCAGCCAGTTTTGCCTACGTGTGCATACTCAAATGATCTAAAAGTTGAGATGTTTATTCCTGTGTATTGTCAGAATATACAAATTAGCGGAGTCAAGGGTTTCTCCAGGCCTACAGGCAAAATTCTGATTGACTTGGCCTTTTGAAGATGGCGTATGACATAAATCAGTTTCTCATTATAGCTAGACTGAACGTTACCTTCCCAGTTCTTCGCTGTAGTTGACACTGCCTTTTGTGATTTGATATCCGTGAAAGCTGAGTGCTTATCCACTTTATGCAAAATAAGTTCTTTGTCCCTTTATGACTTTGAATCACTGTTAGCAGCTGTACTGCCGAACCCCTGCCAGAAGATGATAGCTAGGGGAAAAAAGATTGCGTAGTGGTCCACTAACTGAAACGTAATGGACTTACCTTTAGAGAAAGGTACATGTCTGTAACAGTATAAGGCAGAGCGTGTCCATCATTGGACCATGTGGATGTCAAGAGAAATCTAAACAAGAAAGTGTTCATGGAGGGAGAGATGAAAGGGGATGGGGGGATCCTGCCCATCTCAAACCTACGGGTTTCATCATGAAAGCAGTATGCAGTCTTCTAGGCTGTTTCTGATCTTCTGAGTTTGAGGAATCGCCTCTGGGTCTAAAAAATGTAGTTTTATCTTTTCTCTCAAAAAGGAGTCCTAGTGGCTCAGTGTTGAACTGAGAGTTCAGTGGTTCCAACCCACTAGCTGCCCCCACAGAGCAAGCTGCGACAGTTTGCTTCCTTAAAGATTACAGCCACAGAAAGCCCGTGGGAGAGTTCTACTCTGTCCTCCAGGGTCACTATGAGTAGAACTTGCTGAAATCCATACAACAATGATCTCTCATAAAGGAGGTATAGTGGCACAATGGCTAAGCACTCAGTTGCTAATCAAAAATTACAGCTTTGAACCCACCCAGCTGCGACATGGTAGGAAAGACCTGGTAATCTCCTTCGGTAAAGATTCAATTTAGGAAACCCTATGGGGCTGTTCTATACCATCGCAGAAGATCCCTATGATTTCAAAATAACCTGATGACAAACAATAACAGACATCTCTCATGTTGATCATACCCCATTTAATTTATGCTGAAAGTCACACGTTAGTCAACATCACTTAGAGGGCACAATGACCATGTTGAGTTGCTTTAAGTAGATGGAATGCCTACTTCCACAGGTCCACTGATTGCTGGTGACGGGCAACTTTGTTTTCTTCATCTCTTGCCAATAGGTGAGCACTATGAAACTGGTTGAAAAATGAAAAATCAATACTCTTAGGTATTATTACTATACAGCATCATTATCGGTGTCTGTACTTACTGATTCAGGTACGAGGACAAAAAGAAAGGCTGATTATAAATAAATGGAGGAATGGATATAAGTTCTCTAAATGGCTGCTGAGCTACCAGTGAGGCTAAACCAAAGAAAGGCTTGACAACACTGTTAGTTTACCAACGCTGTTAGTTGACACTCACACTTACTGTGAAAATACAGATCTGCAGTGCTAGTCTCTGTGCTTCTGTCAGCTGTGAATTTGACCTTGATGAACAGAACTTTTATTAAGCCTGGTGATCACACTTAAACTCCTTAACAAAATCTGTGGTCCATATCCTGGGCTTATAGCTTTTCTTCCATTATAGTGTAATTCATAAAGCCAAGTCGCAGAGAAAGGAATAAAACTAGTTGGGTTATTTGACCATAGTCTGGCATTAAAAATCTTGAAAATACAAATTATCATGTGTAATACAGTGAAAGTTTGGTTTGGTCTGATCTCATCTATTGGAATTCCAGAAACCTCCAGGGCAGATATTTTCCCAGGATAACGAACAGGTGTTATATTGTTGTGTAATTTCCAATTAGAGACTTTGGTAGCATTGTGTTGAATCTCCTTCTACAATTTTAGCTACTTGATATAAGATGATGTCCAAAGCTCAGAAAACGTTTAAATTTAGACAAAGGGAATGATGAAATAAAAGCTTCAGATTCCTGATAGCTTTTACCCCTTGATTTATACAACACTACAATGCTTTTGTGTAAATATATGCTGTACATATATGTTAACACAGGCACATTACAAAAAGCAAATTTAATCTGATTCCTCCAATACTCCAAAGACCATATAGATATGGTTAATAGTCTTTCCAGGATAATGAAAAACTCTGAAGGAGTCTTTTGAATTTGCCTTTACCTGACAGAATGAAGAGAGCACCCAGAACAGTACAGATGTTACATTTCGGCCTCTGTGGATGAGGGAAAAGGGAAATGAAGTGAAGAAAGAAAAACTTAATTGCTTAGTTGAGTCCGTGGATTACGTAACTTGCAAAGTCCTCAAATATCTGCAGCGCATATGTATGACGGAAAGCTTTGGAATGGTGGAGCTCTCAATCCACCATGGTGACGTATTTCGAAGACGGAAGGGCTCCAAACACAGAATTCTGTAAACTTCATGGGTGATGGTAGTGCTGGGAATGAAAGCAAAAAAAAAAAAAAGTATGGATAAGCTGAACAACTGTAAATAGTCATACCATAAATGTCTTAGTTATCTAGGGTTGCTATAACAGAAATACCATAAATAGGCAACTTTAACAGATATTTGTTTTCTCCAAGTTAGATGATTAGGATGCCGAATTCAGGGTGTCAGTTCTAAGAGGAGCACTTTGTCACTTCTAGAGGAAGGCCCTGGTTTCCTTGAGCTTCTATTTCTGGGAGAACATCCTGCAGCTTGGCATCTCCCTTCCTTCATCTCTGGTCACTTCGCTCTTACCTGTTAAATCTCTTTAATACCTCAAAAGAGATTGACTCAACATATAAGCTATACTAATATTCAGATAACAAAAACAACCCATTCCCTAACGGGATCATGAGCACAAGCTTAGAATTTAGGATTTACAATGCATATTTTGGGGGGGGACACAATTCAATCTATAAAACTCCACCCTTTAGCCCCTAAATTTTAATGTCTTCATATGCAAATATACTCCCCCCGCAAAAAAGTCTTAAGTCAGATTTTGATTCCAAAATCTCATCTTCTGAATCATCTAAATAAAATATAGATGAGAATGCAAGTATATTCCACAGTGGGGAAAAATTCATATGTAACCTGTGAAATCTACAATACAAATTATTTTCTTTCAAGGTGTTACAGCAGCACAAGCACAAGGTAGAGACATTTCCATGACAAATGGGGAAAAAGGATAATAAGCACCAAAGCAAGCCAAAACCCAGCGAAATAATTACATTAGCTCTCAAGGGTTGAACAAATAACCCTCTGTTCTCTAAGACTATTTGGGCAATGGCTCTGTCCTTCAGATTAAAGCTGTCGGATTCTGGGTAGAGGCCCCTTGACTCTGGACTTTAGCACTGTTTTCTAGGCCAACTAGAATAGTATCTCTATTCTCTTGGCACTGTGGGTCCACATTTTCCTAGTCCATTTGAGTGGCAACCCCATTCCTTCAGCTCCCTAGCAGGCTCCATTCTTCTGTTCCTTGGGAAAGGCTCTGTGTCAACTTGGCTGTGCCAAGATTCTCAGTGGTTTGACAGTTAAGACCTAGTAATTCCCAATGACCCAACCTAATACAATGTAATCAGTGTCAATCAATTGTAAGCCTCCACATTAGGAGACGATTAGGGCAAAATTCAGCGATCAAAAGATATAGCATCTAGGGTCTTAAAGGCTTGACAAAGCCCACATGGAAGAAGCACACCAGCCTGCGTGATCAAGAGGTGTCGATGGGATCAGGGATCAGGCATCAAAGACCCGGAACAAAAATAATATAGATATGAATGAGGGGGAGAGCAGAGTAGAGACCCAAAGTCCATCAACTGGACATCCCCTTACAGAAGGATCACAAGGAAGAGACAATTCAATCAGGGTGCAGTACAGCACTGATGAAGCATACAGCTTTCCTTTAGTTCTTTAATGCTTCCTCCCCCCTACTATCATGACCCCAATTCTACCTTACAAATCCGGCTAGACCACAGCACGTACACTGGTACAGATAAGAGCTGAAAACACAGGGAATCCAGGACAAAGAAACACCTAAGGACGGGAAAGGGAAGGTGGAGGGACAAAGGGGAACTGATCACAAGGATCTACATATAACCTCCTCTCAGGGGGATGGACAACAGACAAGTGGGTGAAGGGAGACATCGGTCAGTGTAAGACATGAAAAAATAATAATAATTTATAAATTAACAAGGGTTCATGAGGGAGGGAGGGAAAAAATTTGGAGCTGATACCAGGGCTCAAGTAGGAAAAAAATGTTTTGAAAATGATGATGGCAACAAATGTTAAAAAAAAAAGAAGAAGAAGAAGAAGAAGGATTTGTTCTAATAATGTGGTGATGTATGATACTCACCTTCCTGACATGATCGCTGAAGATAAAATGTGCAAATGTGGTTAAGAAAGCTGATGATGCCCAGCTATTACAAGATATAACGTCTTGGTCTTAAAGGCTTGAAGTTAAACAAGCGGCCACCAAGCAGGGAAGCAACAAAACGCACATGGAAGAAGCACACCAGCCTGTGTGATCATGAGGTGTCGATGGGATCAGGGATCAGAAATTCAAAATCAAGCAGTCAAATTGACGTGAATGAGTATAAACTAAGTGGAGAACCAAAACCCACCTGTAAGATAATTGGACAGTCCCTCACAGAAGGGCCACAGAAAAGGGATGATAAATCTAGGGTACAGTATAGCACTGATAGAAACACATAACTCTCCTCCAGTTCTTGAATATTTCCTCTCCCTACTATTATGGTCTTAGTTTAACCTCATTCATCTTGTGAGACCTGTGTATGTTCATTTGTATAACATCATTTGATGCATGAAATCCAAGATGGATAAATCCTTCAGAAATAGTAATGGGAGTAATAATTTCCTGAGGGTATGGGAAGAAAGGGGGATAAAGGGGGTAAAGGGGAACTGATAGAAATGACTGTATAACCCCACTCGAGGAGAACAAATAACAGAACTGTAGGTGAATGGATACATTGGATGGTGTAAGATATGGGGAAAAGATATATATATATATATATATACTAATAAGGGTTCAGGGAAGAAGGGTGGAGGAGGGAGGGGGATAAAGGGGAGCTGATATCAAAGAGTTCAGGAAGAAATAAAAAGTTTTGAAGACATGGGAAAAAAATTTATAAATTATCAAGGGTTCATGAGGGATGGAGGGTGGGGAAGGGGGGAAATGAGCTCCAGTAGAAAGCAAATGTTTTGAAAATGATGATGGCAACATATGTACAAAGGTGCTTGACACATGGATATATATATGGGTTGTGATAAAAGCTGTATGAGCCCCCAATAAAAGGATTTTTTAAGAAAAGAAATGGATGATGGCAGTAATTGTACAATTATGCTTGAACTAATTGAATTATGGATGGTTAGAATATCTATAAGAGCTCCCAATAAGGACGGACAACCGAAAAGTGGGTGAAGGGAGATGTCGGACAGGGAAAGATATGACAAAATAACAATTTATAAATTATCAAGGTCTCATGAGGGAGGGGGGAGCGGGGAGGGAGGGGAAAAATGAGGACCTAAGGCCGGGGGTTTAAGTGGAGAGGAAACGTTTTGAGAATGATGAGGGCAATGAATGTACAAATGCGCTTTACACAATTGATGTGTGTATGGATTGTGATAAGAGTTTTATGAGCCCCTAATACAATGATTTTTAAAAAAGAGCTCCCAATAAAACGATTTTTAAAAAGAAATGGTCGTTTCCCTTTCTTAGTGAACAACAAACATGGTCCCTTTGTCCTCCTTCCTTCCTGTAAAATTACAAGAGGCAGAAATTCTTTCCCCCTCTGTTCCCTTCAGTCTAAGATGATGGGCGGGTTTCTGCGGTGGTAATTGGTGAGATCTTTAAGAAAAGTTTGTGTATCTGCCCCCTTGGTGACTATCGTATACCATTTGTTCTTAGTTTGTACAACAGAATTTTTCAAATCTTTAAACTTTGTTTTCATCTTACACAGTTCACTTTTTAAAGTCCATCTCTTCCTTTATATGCATTCTCAGATGATAGCGACTTTCTCTGTAGCTCTCCTCACTTGCTGTTAAGTCCCCAACAGAATTGCCTATGGCATTCATAATTATATAAAACAATCTCTTCAAAGCTAGGTTTTTACTATTAGGCACCTTAAAACTGTTCCAGCTCCCACCCATTACACACTTCTCAAACCACTTCGTAGTTCAGGTATTTGCTAGAGTACCACCCCACACGGCCAGTAACAAAGCGTGCTGGTTACTGAGTGTTGCTGTAGCAGAAATACTACAAGGGCCCGGCTTTAACAAACAAAAACGTCTTGATCAGAGTTTATAGAAATCCAAATGCATGCGCCTGGCTCTGGGGGAAGGCTTTCTTTCTCTCTTTGAGCGTCTGCTCCTAGGCAATCTTCATGTGGCTTGGCATTCATTCTCTCGTTCATATCTTTGCTTGGTTCTCACTTGCCTGTTTAATCTCTTTCATATCGCAAAACAGAATGATTCAAGACACAGCCCCTACACGGTCTTGTCACATTAATATAGGCAAAGCCAGCCCATCCCGAAATAGAATTACAACCAAGGCATACTGTTGCTTTCAGGTGCCCTCGAGTCTATTCTGACCCCTACTGACCCCATGCACAACAGAACAGCACACTGCATGGTGCAGTGCCACCTTGACAGTTTTTCCCCAGGCTTAAGCCCATTGTTGCAGCCACTGTGTCAATCAATCTCATTGAGGCCCTTCCTCTCTTTTGCTGCACCTCTACTTTACCAAGAATGATGTCCCTCATCCCCTTACAGAAGGGTCGTGGGGAGGAGACATACCAGTCAGGGTGCTGTGTAGCAACGATGAAACAAACGACTTTTCTCTAGTTCTTTAATGCTTCCTTCCCCCCACTATCATGATCCCAATTCTTCCTTACAAATCCGGCTAGGCCAGAGGATGTATACTGGTACAGATAGCAACAGGAAACACAGAGAATCCAGGACAGATGAACCCCTCAGGACCAGTGGTGAGAGTGGCGATACCAGGAGGGTGGAGGGAAGGTGGGGTAGAAAGGAGGAACCTATTACAAGGATCTACATATAACCTCCTCCCTGGGGGATAGACAACAGAAAAGTGGGTGAAGGGAGACGTCGGACAGTGTAAGATATGACAAAATAATAATAATTTCTAAATTATCGAGGGTTCATGAGGGAGCTGGGGCAGGGAGGGAGGGGGGAAATGAGGAGCTGATACCAAGGGCTCAAGCAGAAGACACATGTTTTGAGGATGATGGCAACAAATGTAGAAATGTGCTTGATACAATGGATGGATGGAAGGATTGTGATGAGAGTTGTATGAGCCCCCAATAAAATGATTAAAAAAAAAAAAAGAATGATGTTCTTTTCCAGGTAGTGGTCTCTCCTGACAACATGTCCAAAGTATGTAAGACTAAATCATCCGTCCTTGCCTCTAACGAGCACTCT